TATTAAAAAAAATTAATTTTAATGGTTTGGTAGAAAATTGATCAAAACACAGGTATAATGAATAGATATAATGAATTTAACTAACAATTTATTACATACTTTTACTCATAAAATTTAAGTAACAATTTATTTTAGGGTTTTCCTCATAAAATTACACCATTTTCGTCGAGTAGCTTCAGATCAGTACAGTCTTATTTTTTGTAGTTTATTTCAAACTAAGTATATGTAATTTTGTCGTTATATTATTTACAACATTCCTATTTTAATGTAAACCAAATTAAACAAGATGAAAAATTCATGAGTTTTTATAAAAATTATTTAATTATGATGGTTAGGCAGAAAATTTATCAAACCACCGGAATAACTTTATTTAAAACAATTAAATTTAACTAACAATTTATTACAAGGTAATAATCTATTAAGAACAAAAGAGGCGTTGCGATTGTGATACTGATTTGAGATACTTGCTGTGGACTGTACGTGGCGTACACTTGACGTCGCATAGATGTGCATACCCTACCAAAACGAGACAAGGCGTCGGGTAGCATCGGGTTGAGTCGCATAGCGTTGCATCGGGTAAGTGTGCTCCCAGCTTAAGGAATATGGGAAAAAGGTTTATAGATATTGAGGAAGGACATGTATTTGATTTGCAGTAGCCGAGTGGTTAGCGTGAGAGACTCTCGGCCTTTTTAATTTGGGTTCGAAACCAAAATAGCGCAAGTGCTGACTTATTTACCAACACGACTGCAAATTTGATTATAGGATTATTGTATTATTATTCCAATAATTCGGAATAAAAGGTTTTAAGATTCAAAACGTTGTTAGTCATCTATATGATATCTGGTTAACACTAAGTTGTAATTTTAAAGCAACGGTTCCTGTCCGCTGCTCAAAAACTGCAACTTAAATTAAACTTCGAGCAACTTAAATCCTAACCATCATAATTAAATAATTTTGATAAAAACTCATGAATTTTTCATCTCATTTAATTTGGTTTACATTAAAATAGGAGAAAACGGGCTCTTTTGTGCATTGCGAAGGGCGGAAAGGATTTCAAATCAAAATTAAAAAACGCTTAATAAATTCATTCAAAACATGCTTAAGTTTACAACTTTACTATTTATCACATCTTATTGGAAATTTAACGTAGTTTTCAATGGTATCAATAGATTTGACCAAAACTTTTTAGCTTTGGAATTATCGTTTTATTTGAAGCTAGGTCGTGAAATTTTAAAAAATCAGAAAAAGAGTAATAACAACGAAACTTTTGAGATTAGGACCATAGTTAATTAGGATTTTTCGGTTCCATTTTGTAGAATCTACTACTACCGAATACCTGTATAAATTTTTGTTTGAAATTAAACTTTTCCGGCCCCTAAAATTTTTCTGATTTTTGAGAAGTCGTTGTCGGAATATCTGAGTGAAACGGACGACACGAAAACTGTTGGATCTTCGTTATGAGGTTCTGCCTCACCATACCTATTCTCCAGATCTCTCGCCTATCGACTCTCATTTTTCAGACACCTAGACAACGTTTTACAATATAAAAAAAATATTGATCAAAAGTCGTTAGAAAATGCGTTTACAGAATTTCCTAATAATAAAGACTCAAAACTCTATTAAGATGGAATAGAGAAGTCATGTTGGGAGAAGTGTATTGAGAGTGGTGGAGGGTATTCTACACTGACAGACAAAAAATTCCACCCACTTGTAGTATATTTTTTATATTAATCAAAGTTTCATATTTCTTAACGTTTAATAATTGAGTCTTTTTATAAAAAAGTAAAAAGAGTGTAAATTGCTAAGGAAAATGAAAAAAAAGACCGACAGATAAAATGTGTTTTAATTTTGTTTTAGATTTTTAATTAACATTTCAATACCGCGTATTTCCTCCTCTTGTGTTAATTACATCTCGAAGACGCCTCGGAATTCTTTCTACCAGTCTGGAAATGTCACTTTGCTGGAGGTTAGCCCAATCTTCACGAAGAGTGTTTTCAAGATGTGGAGTGCGTCAGGAAGTGATGGACGTGCTCTTGTTCGTCTTTTGAGGTTATCCCATAAGTGTTCGATGGGTTCAAGTCTGGAGAACGGGTGGTCAGGCTAAGACCCTGATGTTACGCTGTTGAATGTACGCTTGTACTATGCGAGCGACATGTGGACGAGCATTATTGTGCATTAGAGTAGGATTGTCGTTGATTTCATCGAGGATAGGCAACGCATGATGTTCCGAAATTTCATCCACATAGCGAGTGGCCATCAAAGACCGTCCACGAACAACAACCAACTCTGTGCGACTCTCCATTGAAATTCCCGCCCACACCATCACTGAGCTACGTTGAAAACGTTGGCTCTGGGAAAAATTACAAGCTTCCTACCTTTCATTTCGCTTTCGCGACACTCTTTCACGCCCATTTGGAGATCATAGAGCAAATCGACACTCATCTGTAAAAATTACAGCAGACCAATAGTCAAAGATCAATGACTGTTCTCTCGAGCAAATGCAACTGTGTTCTGGTCAATTCTGATCCTCTTAAGAGGCAAATCTTAAAATAATCTTAATCTTTAATCTTCTTCGAGCAGCACGTTCGGAAATTGGGACACCTCGAACTTCATGGAGCTGATGAATCGCTTGAACAACGCTAAGGTGACGGTTTCGCAAAATTCTCATAATAAAAAAACGGTCATCCTTTTGTTCCGTGGCTCCCAGAACAGCCTTCTATGGTCGGACCCAGTTTCTCGAAAACATCTAACGGAGTCTCGCAGTGTCTGGGAAGGAACCCCGATGGCAATAGCCGCATACCTGATGAACATTCATCATCAATAAGTGCCTTACAACATCCTCAGCACTAAGTGGTCTTTTTACATTGAAAAATTGAAATTAAGAAAACAAAGATGAAAATTATACAGTTAATTACTTCAGAATTCAAATGAGACTGAATAGACATTTTAAATTCCGTACAAAGTAAACATTGAAAAATCCTTTATCCTCGTTTTGGATTAAGGATTAAGTATGTTTAACTCTAATTGATATTCCCAATGTAAGACATAGCATAAACAAATATTTATTGATAAAAACAATGAGACAAATTACGTTTAAAGAAATGAATTGGGCGGAATTTTTTACCTGTCAGTGTAATTAATAAAACAGATTAAAATCATTTATTTAATTGTGATTATTTACGCCAGTAATCCTATTAATACCCTTAAGGTCCAACTGAGTTCTTTGTCCACAATCAGTCCGTCTCACACCTCGGCCGTGATCGCAAGCCCCCTTTTTGATAAAATCTTAAAGTGCACAAGTGCGAATAAAGAACAATTTCCGTTACTACCCGTTGAAAACATCGTACGAGGAGAGAAGATAATTTTCATAGAGACAACAACTCTGAGCCAACCTCAGGGCTGGAATAGCGACTTCTTGGAAAGACCTCCGGAGAAAGGAAAGGAAAGCATCAATTTAAACATCTCGTCTGAATGAAACTTTTACGGCTACCAAATTATTAAAGACCGTAACAATAATCATAAACCTGCATTATTTTCCGGACAACCCAGTAAATGGTGAAGGATGCAACCGATTATATTATATAAACTAAATTCAAGTGAGGTTTTAATAGATCTGTGAAAGTTGAACGAATTATTTGATAGAAATTCGAACATGCATTCTACATTTATATGTATTGCGAAAAGCTATAGCTGTGTAAATCTAAAAATTAGTTAAAAAATGGTGTCACTATGATATCAAAACTAATGACACTCATTCAAAACCTTCTTTATATTGCCAGCTTCTTTTACTTAAAAGTATTGTTTGATTTTCTGAAAAAAAGTGGAAAAAAGCGTAGATCTTGTTTCATCTATTCTATGACAATCGGTGTAAGTTTCTTAAACTTCAAAGTCAATTGGATGATTTAATAAAAATTGTTTTAAAGAAAACTGAATCATAAAAAAAAATATATTCGATTAATGACTGTGATTACATACAAACTAGTGATTACGTTGGCATTTAAGATTGTTTTATTGGATACAACATCCATCAATCACTCGTTTGGAATATCGGAGGTCAATGTGAAGTTAAAAAATGGTTAATTTAAAGTAAAAAGGGTTAATTTGAACTTAAAAATGGTTAATTTGAAATGAAAAAGAAGTTAGTATAAAGTTAAAACTGGTTAATTTAAAATAAAAATGGTTAATTTGAAATGAAAATGAAGTTAGTATAAAGTTAAAAAATGGTTCATTTAAAGTAAAAAGGGTTAATTTGAAATGAAAATGAAGTTAGTATAAAGTTAAAAAATGGTTAATTTACAGTAAAAAGGGTTAATTTGAAATGAAAATGAAGTTCGTATAAAGTTAAAAATGGTTAACTTAAAGTAAAAAGGGTTAATTTGAATTGAAAATGAAGTTAGTATAAAGTTAAAAATGGTTAATTTAAAGTAAAAAGGGTTAATTTGAAATGAAAATGAAGTTAGTATAAAGTTAAAAATGTTAATTTGAAATGAAGAAGTTAGTATAAAGTTAAAAATGGTTAATTAAAAGTAAAAAGGGTTAATTTCAACTTAAAAATGGTTAATTTGAGATGAAAAAGAAGTTAGTTTAAAGTTAAAAAGGGTCAGTATGAAGTAAAAAGGATTAATTTGATGCAAAAAAGCTATAAAGCTAAACAGGGGCGTTTGAATACTCATGGCAGCACTTCTTACTGTACTTACATAAGACTGAAGTTTGGAGTAAATAAACATTCATGTTCCCCTTGTGTAGGGAAATAATAATTTTCTTGGAAATACTTTTTCAGTTCATTTTGATTTGAGGGTGGATGGCAAAAGTGTGTCGAATGGGTGGTCACGTTCGTATAAAATAAAAAATCAATATTTTATATCGATTTTGCGTTCAAATTATAAAATTTATTAAAAAATATAAAACAGAGCGATTATTAAGCTTTTAAAATACAAGGTAACGTGTATTAAATTCAACTATATTTTATTGGTTTTGAAAAATATATAACTTGTACGTACCACTTTTGTTGCATCCGTCTAAATGGCTCATGCTTTTACCAGACGTGGACCTATCTTGCATTTTCCTCATCTGCTTTTTGTGTTTCATTCTTCTGTTTTGAAACCACGTTTTTACCTGAAAACAACCATTTTGTGGTTACAGTGGTGAGAACGGGAAGAAACGGGATGATAGTCGCGATGCTCAATAAGTTACATAATAGTAATAAATAAGAATGACGTGAAATTCTCTTCTTCGAGGCTGTCCCAACACATCTTAGTTTTTATGCTACTGTAAGTATATTATATGAATATAATAATGAATAATGAATAATAACTAAAATAATGAAATTAACAAAGAAGATCAAACGTTTTATCTTATATCTCCTGTCATGATTTACTTGTGGACACCCGGTTTGTGCCGTTATGTAAGTTATAGTTGTTCTATGACTTTGTGAAACATCATATGAATTAGTAGATTTATTTCAAATATATCACCATTTTAGTTATTTTCGAGAAAAAATGGGCAAGATTTGATCCTATTTTGCTATGTCACTCGGTCGCAAAATAAGGATATATTAACTATTTGTTAATATATCAAACTAGCTTAAAATAGTTTTTTAACAAAAACTAAGTTGATATTTGTTTTTTACACCACAAAAACCTTGAATACCAATTTGTGTTAAAATCCAATGTTTGACGACCTCCAAATGCCTACGATTTTTTAGAAAATCACAAAAAATGGTGATAAATTTGGAAACAGTTTCACCGAGCAAAAGGAAGTTTCACAGGAGTTTAGAACCTTATAAATTACACGTAATAAAAGAAATGTGTCTAGGTAAATAAATAAGAATTGAAGATAGAAAATAGAAGAAAAACACTCGGACTCCTGTCTAAAATTGTCTAAAATTTTTAAATCGGTAATAAAAAAAGAGGAGGGCAAACTCATAAGGTGGGGTTGAGATAGGAAGTTGATGTCCGAGTGGATCGAGGTCACGATAGCTCAAGTGGTAGAGCAGCGGCGTATCTAGCCGAAGATCGTGGGTCCGAATCCCGCTCGTGCCATTAACTTTTTTTCATCTCAACTAAAAACCTTAAGTAATTGTAAAATGAAAAAAAGATTCATTAAAATCGGTGAACCCACGTCAATAGTCTTTCCGTCATATAATATTCAGATTTGATTAAAATCTTAAAAAAACTAAAATAAAAGATTTGTCGTACAGATAAAACGTTTGTTGTACTTTTGAACCTTATCACTGCTTATAAAACTTTTCAAGGATTTCAGAACAGCTGAATGCCGTTCTATTGTTGTCAATGACGAGTTGAAGGCATGATTAAATTGATCGATTAAAACAGTAAAAAGTTCCAATGAAAACTCGAGTGTTCTTTGTAAAATATAATTTACTTATTATTAATAAATAGATAACATTCACCAGGTTATTAAAAACGTTCTTGTACATGAAAACATTATCTTGGTAATAATTTACATTAACAATTTTTGCCCGTCCTGAGTCCCCCCCTTTCAGGCCTTTCATTTGTTATTATTAATTGTAATACGGTCAGAAGATTAAAAAGAACAAAGCCATATGAACTTGTGTAGTTAAAAATGAATAGTGAATAGTGAAATGTAAATCTTATTGTAGCAATGGGTTTATAAGAATGTAAACATTTATTTATTCTATAATATTATTGTAAAATTAATGGTTGGTCTAATAAGACCAGTTTTAATAAATAAATTTAATTAAAAAAATTAAAAAAAGAAAATTAATAAAAAATTGTAATCAAAATGTACATCATAGACTTCTAAGCTATTTTTTAAACAAAAAAGACTATGGGGTAATGACTGAAGATATGTTACGATTGCTTCGTAAGGTTGTTGATAGTTAAATGATGCCAGATTACTCGAGACTGTAAGCAAGAATATTATTTATAACTAATTATAGGAAACTGAAGTTTATGAAAATTAAAAAAACTAAATATTTCACATTTTTGAATACACCGATGGACAAATTTAACGCACCACTCTATTTATTTAATTTAAAATTAAACCCATTATCTTTCTATATCAGTTTCAGGTAATCAGGAACTATCGTAATCAAAATAAAAAGCCAATAATGCTTTCTTTACTTCTTTTATTTACTTTTGTACAAAAAGTAGCATTATGCCCTTCCATTGCGCTTGCATAAAGATAGCTTTCAGTTAATCTTTTTCTTTCGTTGATGCTATTTGATATTATTCTTATTCTTGAACCTTTTTCAATGGCTCCAGTCAGGCATTTATGTGAGTATGACAGTCTCAAGGTCACAACATTATTAGAGGGAGGATACAGTCGCCAGGGGACTGAGTGCACAATAGGAAGGGCTCTCGGCACTTCAGAGAAACAGGGCTATAAACTAGAAGGCCAGGACAAGGTCGACCTAGATCTACAGATGAGAGAGAGACGATAGATTCAACCGTCATCAGAGATGGTTAGGAAAAAGACCCTTATGGTCCTTTTCAGGACTATAAGCAACCACGGGACCATCAGGCTCTACGAAACCGCAGCATTAAATGTTTCGATTTCCTCCAGGAGTGTAAGAGGCGGTAGCCGAGTGGTTAGCATGAGAAACTCTCACGCCGCGGTCGTGGGTTCGATTCCCACCGTCGCCTCTAGCCCTTTTTTCACAATAACCCCCCCCCCATATTTGAACACGCATATACGAATTGTCACATGGCTTAAAAAAAAAAAAAAAAAAAAAAAAAAAAAAAATTTTGGTTGGTAGAATAATGTTGGATTGTTTTCAGCCTAGTACTCCATTGATTAATTTACTGGCTGGAGGGACAATGCTAGTTCAGGATTGTTCTCTATTAGAATTTTACCTGTTTAATTTTTTTTACATATCAACAAATCAACATCAAATAATGGTATTTTTGGACAGGCTTTGAGTTAGGGTGCCCGACACGTATTCGCCACGCTAGGGGTTCTGGGTTCGAACCCAGCGTAGCCCATCAAACTTCAATAGATAATAGTATAAAAAATTATTGTAAATTGGTTCTGATCAATCATCTGCGTCAATCAACGAGCAGTTGAATGTAAGACCCCTATGAATTACTTTGCTTAAAAGATAGTTGAACGTTCAATTTCCCGTTGCATGTTGCAGACGAGAAGTCACAACCACATTATAATATTTTTTTTCAAATAAGTCTCAATTAAAATTACATGGGCTATGACGGGATTCGAACCCACCACCCCTAGCGTGGTAAATAAGATTCTGAAGTTGTAACCACTCGGCTACCTCCCCCTTCCCAATAAATGAACTATGTATTAATATGTGAACTAAAAATATCTGAAAATGCCTTGAATCTTGTGAGGTTCTTTGAAATTGAAAAAATGTTGATCAGGGCGCAATTTGTAAAAATATGAACTTCCCTGCTCATCAAATTTACACCTTGAAGAATTGTGACCTCAAACTTGTCCATGTTGCTTAAGTATCGTGTAAAAATGTTTAAACTATCCTGTTTTATTACTTATACGTAAAACTTTCACTACTTCTTTAATTACCTGTGTTTCTGAGAGATGGAGGGCATGTGCGAGTTCGACACGTTCGGGGGTGGAGAGATATCTCTGCGCTTCGAACCTTTTCTCCAGTCCGGTCAACTGTTGATCGGAAAAAACCGTTCTCGCTTTCCTCCTCCTGTAATGTTTTCCACTTGGCTCGCTGCTGCCGAACAGGCCCATTCCTTTTAACAAAATAAAGAAAGGTCGTGTAATGAAATACCAAATTCACTGACCGTTGAGCCGCACCAAAGGTGCCGTTTAAGATTTACCTTTATATAAACTATCACTAAACATAAACCATACTACTAATATAAACTATATTTAACATATTATATAAAATTTATTGTATCTTGAACTTTTTAATAACTCTATTATCTTTTTAGGTAGAAAGTCTCGCTCAGACAGGATCAAAAATAAAAGACATGATACAAAGAACTTCGATCATCATCATAAACGACGTAATCATTCCAGCATCTTCAGGTCTGACAGACTGTGTGTAATTAATAAAAACAAGAAGGGAACCTTTTCACATAAGAGTAGGAAAAAGAAACAAAGTTCAAAACAGTGAATTTGTACTTAAGTCTAAACTTTAAAACCGCAATCCTGAAAAATTGTGTCCGTGAAGTTATTTTTGGACCTGTTTTCCCTCGAGTGTGCAGAATTAAACTATGCGTCTTACTTCATAGAATACCACTAAGAAACTTTTAGAAATGATGACAAGCATGAAACTACCCCACAACGAACAAAAAAGAGGAAAAATAAACTTGGAGACATTGAAATACACAAAGGCAATACCTTCAGCACTAAAAAATGATAAATCGACAAATTTACATTCGATTCCACCCAATTCAGAAAAGTATTAGTTATATCCAAAGTTGAACATATAAACGTTTTCCTCTGAAGGAAGCTGGGGGTACTTGAAAAAAGTTGAAGTCTGAAGCTGCGAGATCAAGACTGTAAGTTCGTGGCGGTATATGCTCAATTTCGCCCATTTAAGAAAAGTATTAGTTTCTTACTTATATCCAAAGCTGGGCTATCCATCGTTTTCATTTCAAGGAAGCTGACCGTTGCTTGGAAAAAGTAATAATCTGAAGGAGCGAGGACAGGACTGTAGGCTGTAGCGGCATAAGCTTTTACATATTTTCTTCCAGGACAGCTACTTTTTCTCCCCCTTAAATCAAAATTAAAACCAAATATACAAGGTGTCCGGTGAACCGACGTCAATACTTCAGGAGGTTATCCTCCATGTTAAATAGAACTAAAAGCCCCTATTGTCCGAAGGCTGATTTTCAATTGAATTCCAGATATTTCACTTTTGTTTCCGAAATACCGAAGGTAGGGAAGTTTCGTATTCATGCAAGAAGTCGACAAAATTGTCCTCCGAAATCAACATTTCCACTCGCATTATGTGTTTCAGAACTTTCTGAACGAATTTGGTTCCGACTCTGTCTGTCTGGGGTCAATTCCTTGTAACCGGCAAAACACCGAAACCATGAGACCATTTTTTAAATGAAATTTTCAGAGATTCCGAGGGTTGGTCTCATATGAATTTCATCCCAATCGGATCAACGGTATCTGCTACGCATGCACAAACGTAAAATCGCGTACACAGGTTTATCTCCGAAACCATTGTTTATGTTCCTTCAACCTTTTACAACTTTATTGTATAAGGTCCGTCGTATATCATAAAATGTTAATCCTTCTGTGTTGGAAGAAGGGGCTATCCTTAATTGGCAGCAACGCTCCTCACCTTTGCTAGTTCGCCGGAACCTGTTCCTTCACGTTAACACCCTGACAGAATCAGGACGCGATATGAAGAAAGATAGATTAAGTTAAACTAAATTAAATTAATATGATATACATACATTGGACGATAAAGTTAATTTAATTTACATAAGTTGAACAATAAAGTGACCTGGCCAGGGTCAATAAGTTAAAGAGAATAGTGACAGACTTAGTACAGAAAATTAATCAAACTATACAAAAACTCACTAATTTCGTGGTCCGCTTGACCAATTAATACATTACAATTAATTAAGGTTTTTAGTTGAGATGAAAAAAAGTTAATGGCACGAGAGGGATTCGAACCCACGACCTTCGGCTTGATACGCCGCTGCTCTACCACCTGAGCTATCGTGACCTCGATCCACTCGTCAAAACTCATAAGGTGGGGTTGAGATGGGGAGTTGATATCCGAGTGGATCGAGGTCACGATAGCTCAGGTGGGAGAGCAGCGGCGTATCAAGCCGAAGGTCGTGGGTTCGAATCTCTCTCGTGCCATTAACTTTTTTTCATCTCAACTAAAAATCTTAATTAATTGTACTATACAAAAACTTGGTTTTAAATGTTTTTCACAGTAGTTAACAATTAAGAGAACAAACACTTCAAATTAAAGTCTTATTAGAAGACGTGAGAAGCCGAAAGGAAAGATCTGACCTGTGAACAGCAAAATGATGTGCGGCGAAGAATTGCAGGCGACGTGATTCCACAGCGATGAGCGGGTGAAGAGAAAACAAATAACTTCGTAATCCGGCGGGGTACGCGCAAATTGTAACTTCGATTACAAATCGAGATCAAAAAAAGAATTAAACAAACGCATTCGTCCACTCTCCAATACTAACTGACCAGCTGGACCCCGAGACCTTTTTTTTTTGTTTTTCGTCTCCATGGATATTTGAACAAATAAACAAAATTAAAAAAAAAATGAATAAAATTCTCTCCGGCGTAAACACCTTCTATTAATTTGATTTCCCAATAGGAAAGAGCATTAAAAAACCATATAATGTTAATTTTTTATTGTAACGTTAAGTAAACGAAACATTAAATTACCTAAAAGATAAACTCTTAAAAGTTTCCAAAGTTCTTGTCTTACGTTTAAATAAGATTTTTTGTAACCAGTGACAGTTATGGCACTTGCAGAAAAGTTGCCCCTACTAATGAGCTTTAACCAAAACTTTTGAAGAAACAAGACTTTTGAATTAATTAATCAAAGGTCAGTTATCACCAGCCAAAAATTAACGTTTAATTTGCTAATGCGAAATTTGATTTTTGACTGCTTCTGTAAAAATAATAATAAAGGTACAGAATGCAGATTTAACAAAAACGACTCTATGCCACAATATTGAACGTAAGACAAAACAAAAAGCGTTGAAATATTAAATTAAGTGTTCAAAAGTCCACCTTATTGAAGAATGCAAGCCTGATATCCATCCAAATTTTCCATTTTCATTTCAACCAAAATATTTTTTTTCTTTTACCCTGTTCTTGTTTCCTTTTGGGAAGGGGAGTACCGTCGAGTCCTTGAGGTGCCTAACAAAATATATGTGCTTACAGCTTATTAGTAGAAGAAAATCTTACACAAACTTTAGACAAAAACTAGATAAACTTCTAAAAGCTTATCTTTTAATTTTGTATTGGGTATGCTTAATGCTACAATGAAGAAAAAAATAAAATAGATGAATCTCATACATGTTTCCCCGGCAGACGGTTACCTTGCCGTATTAAGTTTATTTTCTTGTTTGAATTATATGTAATTTTTCTTTTTTCTTCTTGTGTGCAATAAACTTATTATTATTATTATTATTATTATCATACATGTTTCAATGCTTTTTTCGTTAGTGCGATCAAATTGTCAGTAGGTTTAAGAGTCTATGAAATACCAAGTACTTGATGGAATAAAGACCTGAAAGTGAAATATTTCGAATACAATTGTGAATCTGATTTTGAGCAATAGGAACTTTTCATACCAGTTTTGCATACGACATATTTGTAAATACGACATGCAATATACTCCCGAAGAATTAACGTCTGTTCACGGGATACCCTGTATAGCTGTAAAATCCGGGCATCTAATGTTAGAAGAAATGCTAGTTTTTAATTTTGGATACGTACGCAAATTCAACAATGAAATTATTGTCGCAGTTAAAATTAAAAGCTTTATAGACTTTAAAGGATTTAAACTAGTCAAAGATATTGTGTATATTCCACTAGCAAGAGTTCAATTTTTTACGTTAACCGGCGTAATCACAAATAAACGCTCTTTGTTTAAGAAATTAACTAACCGAGTATTCGGAGGGAAAAACGTCGCCCTCTTTGAAACGATAGATTATATATAAACTATTATTGTAATTAACAAACAATACAGGCAATAAGCTTAAGGGGTCGGAGGTGATTGACGTTAAAACGGCTTCAAAAGGAATTTTCTCCCATCTCAAGCAGTGGGATGACATGTTCTAATGACACTACGGGGAAACAAAGCGGCCGACCCGACCGAGAGGGCTGAAACACGATACGTTTAACAGAATATAATGGGCTGCTTCCGTCTCAAACCCTTAAGTTTCCCTTTTAGCTTTTTGAATTTGGAAATTTCGGACTAGATGCCTGACACCATTATTTGAACTGTACTGTCGCAACTCTTTCACTCGAGTCATTATGCTTCGATGGTTTTGATTTTATTAAATTTCTCTTGAGTTGTGCGGTGTAATGAACCCCAAAGTTGGCATAGGCTGTTTGACTGATGAAAACAGCGAGAATAAGCACACTAGGATGGTCGGAAATGACGAACCAACAATATTGATTATTATCGATTTAAACATAGAATATAATACTCTTGGTTCTGTCGTTTTGTTGGGTTATCGGAATAATTTCTTAACTTCTAATGCCTTCATACATTCTCCCTCTTTTCCATTTCACCTATGACATTGTAGCATGACTACTGATTCAGTTAGGTAGTGCTTTGACAGTTTACACAGAAACAACGAATCCGAATACTTGTGCAAATCCATAACTAAGTGAAATGACAAATAACTCAATTTCACAGAAGCGATTCTTCTCCCAAGAGTACTTGTACAGTTAGCGAACCATATGGAGTGGCTCAAGAAAAGTCGTACCAAGTTCATAGTATCACCAATACACAGGCTGAAGCACTATCCTAGCGTTTATCTAAAATTAACCGAATATTCCAATTAATCTAAGCCTTGTGTAATACACACCACTTCCAGTTGGAGCAATTATTGAACAATGTGCCAAGGAGATCAAAAGGCTGAATATTACCAACGAAAGAGTAGAATATAATCTACTTGGACAGCCAACCACCTCATAGATAATAAAGTCCAGAGCTGTTTGGTTTGCATCAAGGTCTTGTCAAAATATGAAGAACAACATTAGGATTACCCTTGATTGGATACCAGGACGTAGGAGCGTATTAGGCGTAGAATGTCAAGCGCATCAACTTACTAATGTCAAATTTGATTTCCCTCTTGGAACCACAGCTCACGAAGAATATAAATGAGTCTGCATCACAGACATGCTTGTCTTGTTATTTTCTTACCTTTTTTCTCTCCTCAAGCGCGTAATGAATCCACAGATGTTTGCAATGAGACGTGTAATAATTGTGTATTAAAAATTACAACAATAGTAAATGAAATCTTTTGGGAGAATGCAATATAATGTAATTAATAATAAAATAACGCACCTTCTTGAATGAAAGGAACCTTTTTTTACAGAGAATTAGTTTTATCATTTTTTAAAACATATAATAAAAACCGTGGCTTTACTAAAAAACTAAACTTAAAAAAAATTTAAACAATACAATAAGTGAACGAGGGCATTACGCTTTTTTATGATCACTTTTTATACGTATTTAATATTTTATTTTTACATACAACTGTATTTTCATGATTGAACGTAATGGAAAATTAACAGACGACAAAGAAGAAATATTGTCTTGAATTTTATATAGCTTTCGTTATTAGTTTTTTTTTTAGCATTAGAGATACAAATAGGTTGAGACGAGGTATTCTGCTTTGATAAAATTGATTATTAAATTGGAAGCTATTGATTATAAAATTAAAGATTAAAAAGGTGAGACCATACACCTACACTAACGTATCAAAAAGCGAGAAAGGGTTGGAACAGTATATACAGATATAAAGGGTAAAGACTGGTTCATTTAAATAAATTGGCGTCCGTGTTTAATGAAGAACTTCTGGACATCACCACTAAATTACGAATTAAAAGAAAAAGTGGGAAAGGGGAGAATACAAAGAATACCAAATTTGACATCCTATAAGTAACTTTGAGGTCTCAGTTGAGCCACTTGAACATCGAAGTACTCGCTGGACTTAAATAACTAATATTTTCAGCTTAGCTCAGATCGGTGTATCACAATGGTCAATTAGTATGTCTTCTCTTTCTTGTGTCATTTTAGTTGGTTTGTGAATTATGAAAGCTTTCTTTGGACAAAATGTATTCTAGTGTATCATACTCTCATATTTTATAGAATCCAAACGAGCTTTATAGTCCAGGCATGAAGTTATTTTTCTTTTTCTTGGACAGGCAATGAAGTAGCTAGCATGAGCGTTAAAGTATGATTATTTATTCAGTAGTGAATCTAGCCATTTCAGAAATTTATAAAAGGGCTCGATTTGTACATCAACTACCAGACTAACCTTTTCAGGCCAACAGGTTCATCACTTCCTAGATGTCATGGTGTTTTCATAATAAGTTAGGCTGTTTATAGTTAAAGTTGAAATAGATTTTTAATAGACTCACCGTGACCTGTGAGGAAAAAGGATTCCGATGGCGTTTTGTGTATGTAAGACGTCGGGTATGTTAAAAAAGCCGCCGCCATGGCCGCAGGTGGAATGAGTGGGTAGCAGTCTCCTCTTTGGTCCCCGCCGCTACCACTTACCTGGAAATTTACACAATTATTTCTCGTTGTATTAAACTACACTATCAATTGCGTTGGGCAAAGCGATAAACATATTGTAATAAAATATAATAATAACAATTAATGAAGGTTTTTAGTTAAGATAAAAAAGTCAATGGCACGAGCGGGATTCGAACCCACGATCTTCGGCTTGATACGCCGCTGCTCTACCACTTGAGCTATCGTGACCTCGATCCACTCGGACACCAACTTCCCATCTCAACCGCACCTTTTGAATTTTCCCTCCTTTTTGCCATTTTTCAAATGTGTAGTCGGGTTGGATTCTCGACGACAAATGAAATGGCCACGGAGAGCTTCAGTGAAGTATACTTCATTTTTAATCATTAAATTCACTAATTTCGTGGTCCGCTTGACCAATTAATTTTTTATCTCACTAAAAACCTTCATTAATTGTAATATATTAATTGGTCAAGCGGACCACGAAATTAGTGAATTTAATAATAATAACAGTTGAAAAAAAGTAATTGATATACAAATATGTATTTTGTTGTCAGGATACCCATCTTTACCATAAATAAATTATTTATAATTATTTGATTAAGTTATTTTAAGGCAGGTTTGTATAGCTTTAATAAATATCACCTAACAGTCTATGAAATTGTTTAAAAACGTCCATTGATTTTTGCACAAATCAGCTTATTAATCATATTATGTTTTGTCTAAAAATGTCTCTTGTTTAGTGAGTGATACTATCCAATGAAAGGTTTTTAGTAATGCTACGGGGTTCAACTCTTTGTATAGTAAGGACATCAACTTCTTTATTTTCCTAATTTTCTATGAATCCTGGAAAACAGGTAAGTTTACACCTAAAATATTTTTTAACATACACAAAGTTCTTTTCCCCGCATATAATCGGATTCAAATTGATTTAACCCATCATAATAAAAAAATACAAAATTAAGTTAAACGCATTTGATAGTTGGAGCCCTTTTGTAAAGTAAGAGAAAAAGATCCCCTTGTGTCAAGTCATCACCTCCCTTCGGCCTGAAGGGCCATTTATTCTTTACTTTGATCCAACACTTATTTCGTTACTTGGTATAAAAGAGGTATTAAATCACGTTACTGGGTGTAAGGCGAGGGTTTTTGTTTTACTCATAAGCTATGTGACTTCTCACCAACGTCAGTGAGGGACTGAGCAAACTCATAAGCTCATACAAGGAGAACCTATTGTGATTTTTTCTTTATTATTTGACTTGGGGCTGTTTTAACGGTATTAACCTCTTACAGGTCACTTTCTTTATGATTTAATTTTTATTGTTTCTTTTAAATAATTCATTTAAGCTCTATTTTTTTTCTTTTATTAGATACTTGTGCATATATAAGCGGCATTTATATATGCATTTTTTTTTCTTCATCACAACAGGTTCCCTTTTTCAGATCTTTAGCCGCTACGTTTGTAGCGTTACCGGGATGGACCACTGGGCGGCGATCTGATTTTTACAGAGATTTTTTTATTTTTTATAACTCTATTTTTAACCTTTACATTATCATACATTTATAAAATTTAAAACATCATCTATAAAATAGTGTATACACACACACATACTTTACAGTTACACATATTATACTGCCACAATTTAATTACTTATATCACAGAATTTGTAACTTAATTTTATATATTTTCATTACATTAATAATAGATTGTAATTAAATATTTATAATAATATATATACTTGTCTCTAGAATAAATTAATAAATTATACAATTAAACAACCAATAAATAAATAAATAAACAATAAATAAATAATCTAGTGATAAATACACACATACCGTAATAGATGAACATATTGTACAAATTTTATCTATGAAATAGTGTACATCTAATATATTTTATTTTCAGTGCAATTTTGGATTAGTGCGATATAAATAAATAAATAAATAATTTAGTGATAAATATATATATACAGTTATAAATAAATACATTGTAAAAATTTTATCCATGAATTACTGCCACATCTAATATATTTTCTTTTTGTGCAATTTTTAGATTACCTACATTTACAAAATTTAAAATATCATCCATAGAATAGTGCATACACACACATACTTTACTGTTACACTTGTTATACTGCAACAATTTAATTACTTATATCACAGAATTTGTAACTTAGTTTTATATATTTTCATTACATTAATAGATTGCAATTAAATATTTATAATAATATATATACATGCCTATAGAATAATTTAATAAATTATTCAATTAAACAACCAATAAATAAATAAATAAATAAAAAATAAATAACAGTAATAAATACACACATACTGTAATAAATGAACACATTGTATAAATTTTTTCCTTGAAATAGTGTACATCTAATATATTTTATTTTTAGTGTAATTTTGGATTAGTGCGATATAAATAAATAAATAATTTAGTGATATATATATACAGTAATAAATAAATACATTGTAAAAATTTTATCCATGAATTAGTGACTCATCTAATATATTTTCTTTTAGTGCAATTTTTAGATTACCTAATTATACATATCTTCGTGTAGATTTGGTAATCTATTTTCAGTTTTTATGCTAAACACATATTTTATAAATTTATCAAATTGCTTATAATTGTGTTTGTTTTCTGTCATTACTGAAAGCAAACTATCTTCATTTATATGTGTTCTCATTTCTAATTCCATATTCATTCTTTTATTACTGTAGATTTCACAATCCTTTATTATGTGTTCAACACTTTCAATTTCTCCACATCGACACAAATTTGTATTTTTTATTTTGTATTCGTATAGATATTTATTGAACTCTCCGTGTCCAGAAAGGAATTGCGTAATGACATAATTAGGGTGGATAAACGTTCTGTTTTTTATTCTTTTAAGTATACTTGGGAAGAATTTGTAGGTAGTCCTTCCTTTCAAGCTTATATCCCACCTTGCTTGCCATTTTGTAATTACATCATTTTGTATTTGTTCTATTTGCTCTTTGTAATCACTGGTCATAATCTTTTTTATTTTATAAATGTCTATTCTTTTTTGTAGTTCCAGGTCTATTGGGACTTGCCCAGCAATAACTTGCAGGGCGTCTGTAGAAGTTGTTCGGTACGCTTTTGCCATCCACTTTAGTGCATTTCTTTGTATAGAGAATAGTTTATTAACCTGGGTTTTGTTCAATTTTTCAGCCCATGCTGGTGCTGCATAACAGATGATTGACAGGTTTAACACTTTATATATTATTTCAGTACTTTCATATTTGATCCCCCAGGTAGCCTTTGCCAAGTTTGCGAGGTAGTTTTGTTTTTCTACCATTTTAACCCTTATACTTTCAATGTGGCTACTTGGGTTAAAACTATTACTTATGGTTACCCCCAAGTAAACTATGTTTTTTTCCACCTTTATTTGTTTTCCATTTAGTACTATTTTCGGGTGGTTTCAGGTAGCTACTTTCCCTTTTAGAAACTGCACTTTTTTTTTCTTCCGATACTTGGAGTTTTTGTGCCTGACACCACTTATGGACTGTATTCAATGCTTCCTCGCTTTTTTCTTTTATTTCTCTGACACTGTTTCCGCTAACGACCAAGGCTAAATCATCCATGAACGCTGTTGCCTGGATTTGTTTGGTTTGCATAATCTCCATTAACTCATTGAAGGCATACAAGGAGAACCATCCACAATGATTATTCTGAGGAGTTATACGCTAAGTACAAAGTAATTGTACCTCGCGGGTCTCAAGAATAGCACGGTTCATCAAACTGTTAAAAAGATTGCTGTTTTAGCCATAGGTTTTCATAACCAATCTGTCTTAAGTTGCATCGTCTTCTCGCTGGTCACCATTAGTCAGCAACAGGAGTCGGACCAATCACTGATGATTTATCTGCAGACAAAACTAAGGGGATGAGGAAAACTAGAATGCTCTTAGAAGATCAAATTGTAAATTCACCACCTAGCAGTCCTGAAGAACATTTCGCAATAGTTTTGCGTTATTTTGATGTATCTGTTCATGTTAACAAATCATAAAGGGGAGACGGCTGACAAAATGAAATTGCAGACCAGCCACTGAAATCTTCACCAAGAAGTGTTTCCAATAAGTTTATCCAACTGTTAAAAACCTATATTATTGGGTTGTCCGGAAAATAATGCAGGATTTTAAGTTTTCATTAAAAAAAATCTATATAAAATATTCTGTTTACGTTTACAGGATTACTCATTTGTATGAATGTCAACACTTATTAATCCTCTTCCAAATGATATTGTTTGTTTACCTCTGTAGCATTCCGCTACTTGGAAATAATTCAGTCATCCTTATAATGTCAAAGCGAGAATTTCGTACGATTTTCTTTTACGAGTTTAAACTCGGCCGAAGCGGAGCCCAAACGGCTAGAAACATTAACCAAGTCTGGGGCGAGGGTTGTGTTAATGAGTGCACTGTGCAAAGGTGGTTTAAAAAATTTCGGGAGGGAGATTTCAGCCTTGAAGATGAAGAAGGTCGTGGAAGGCCTTCCTCTCTTAATGATGATGTTCTGCGATCAGTGGTGGAAGAAAACCCCAAAACAACTGTTCGAGAACTTGCAGAGCAACTCAAAGTCAGTAAAACGACCGTCGCTGACCACCTCAAGGCGATTGGAAAAGTGAAAAAACTCGAAAATTGGGTTCCACACTCATTAAACGATCGCCAAAAAAATCAGCGCTTTGATGTTTGTGCATCACTTCTTTGTCGAAACAAAAATGACCCATTTCTGGCCAGAATTGTTACATGTGACGAAAAGTGGATTCTCTACGATAACACTAGACGTTCTGGACAGTGGCTCGACAAAGGAGAAGCTCCAATACATTTTCCAAAGCCCCCAACTCATCAAAAAAAGGTAATGGTTACGGTATGGTGGGCTTCATTTGGTTTAATACACTACAGCTTCTTAAATCCTGGCGAAACCATCAATGCTGAATCATACTGTAACCAAATTAATACCATGCATCAGAAATTGGCAGTAATGAAGCCCTCTTTGGTCA